AATGCAAAACCACAATGAAATTTCCATTAGAAATCCCTTAGAATAGTTAAAATGAAAAAGACTGACAATACCAAGTGTTAGTGAGGACTAAGGAGCAACTAAAACTGACACACACTGATGTTGGGACTGTAAATTCTACAACCACTTTGAAAACAGTTTGGCAGCCTTTTAAACATAGACTACACATATGACGCAACAGTTTCACTACTAGGTATCCACTGAAAAGAAACCAAAACATATGCCCACACAAAGATCTGTACATAAATGTTCCTAGCAGCTTTATTCATAATAGCCAAAAATTGGAAATGACTAAAATGTCTGTCAACAAGTAAATGGATGACTAAACTGTGGTATATTCATACAATGAAATACTACTCAACAATAAAAAGGAATGATTTACTGATGTATGCAACATGGACTAGTCTCAAAAGAATGCATATTATGATTCAATTTTTTGTAAAAAAACAAACACACACCTTTTTACTTTTCAAATATTGAACTACTCCAATTGCACAGTTTATATTAAAGTGCATATTTAAGGCTTGATACAACTTCCAAATTACTTTTATAGTTCTAGCTTTAATGGCTGCTCACTGCAGTCCTGATATTCTTCCAACTTTATGATTCAATTCCTGATTTCCAAATACATTATTTAAATCTCTCTGATGCTTATTTAACGTGTGATCGTAAACATAAAACTTATCAAGAAAAGTTTTGTGACTTACTTGATTTACATCCTTTATTGCATATTATTAAATTTGGTGACTTAAAACCAAATAAAAACATGAACTTGTTTTTTAACTTCTGACTGAAACTATATACTTTCTCTCTGGAGTGACAATGGCACCATTTATACAAAATTCAATGAGGTTTTCATATAAATGTTTGTTATTGAAATATTCTTCTTAAACACTAAGTTTATTATTTCATTATTCTTTCATCTACCTACATGAGATCAATAACATCATAAAATATCTTCAAAGTCATGAATTTCGCCTTTTAAGTAACTTACATAAATATTCCAAAAACCTTTTTTCTCATTTCAGTAAATACATGTTTTCTAACAGGTGGAAAATAAATCTAAAATGTAATAGTCCCATCAATATTAATTCTTTGAAATTTTTACTAAATATTTCATGTCTTAAGGTACTCTACTAAAACTGCATAGTAGATATAATTCAAAAAATGCCAATGGTACTTTTCCAAATGTTTTTGTTCACTTTGACAGCGAAAAACTGTTTATTATTTCAATCAATTTATTATTTAATGTGAATTCATGATGTTCCCTAATTTTTTCTTGCTGACTGCTGCAAAAATTCTTTACTTCATCAGAAACATTAATGGAATATGACTGACATTCTGCTGAAGTGTATTTAGAACTTTCAACTTTTGAATGATATAATTCTTGAGCACCTTTGCATCCAAATTTTATATCATTAGCAATAACAAACTACTATATTTTTGTTGAAACAATAAAAGTATTTTTCATAGAGATTAGAGATTACTCTGCTTTACGCTGCACCAAATCCTACAATTTCAACAGATGTTCCAGACTGTTCTAAATGCTTCAATATATCAGATGTTCTATACTGCAATTTGTTATTAATATAATCTCTTCACTGTACTCTTCCATATTCAAAAGATTTGTTTACAAAACTTAGAATGATAAACTGCTTCATAGTAGAATTTACACTACTAATTAATTATAGCATTTATCAAGGTTATTGTTATCCTATTTTCTAATTAGTGGGACTTCAATATTTTAAAATTTTTAATTTTAAAACTCAAAGACAGGGCTGGCCTGGTGGTGTAGTGGTTAAGTTCACACGCTGCACTTTGGTGGCCCGGGGTTCGCAGGTTCGGATCCCGGGCGTGGACATACACACCACTCGTTAGCCATGCTCTGGCAGCGTCCTACATACAAAATAGGGGAAGACTGGCAGAGATGTTAGCTCAGGGCCAAACTTCCTCACCAAAAAAAAAAAAAAAAAAAAGATGAAAAAAGCCGGAGGACTCAAGCTTTCTGATTTCAACACTTACTACAAAGCTTTAATAATCAAAACAATGTGATGATCACATCAAGACAGACCTATAGACGAATAGAATAGATATAGAATAAAGAGCCTAGAAATAAACCTTGCATATATGGTGAAATGATTTTTGACAAGGGTGCCAAGACCATTCAATGTGGAAACGACAGTTTTTTCAACAAGCGGTGCTGGAAAAATTGAATATCCACATGCAAAAGAATAAAGCTGGACCTTCACCTCACATTATATATAAAAACCAACTTAAAATGGATCAAAGACCTAAATGTAAGACCTAAAACTCTTAGGAAAAAAAATAGTACAAAAGCTTCATGACATTGGATTTGGCAATAATTTCTTAGATATGGCACTAAAGGCACAGGTAATAAAAGAAAAAAAAATAATAAAGTGGACATCTTGAAATTTAAAAAATTTGTGCATAAAAAGATACTATCAATAGAGTAAAAGGCAATCCACAGAATAAGAAAAAATATTTACAAACTATATATCTGATAAGAGATTAGTGCTTAGAATACATAAATAACTCCTAAAACTCAACAACAGAAAAACAACCTGATTCAAAAATGGGCAAAGGACCTGAACAGACATTTCTCTAAAGAAGACACACAAGTGGTCAATGAGCACATGAAAAGATGCTCGACACCGCTAGTCATTAGGGAAACGTAAATCAAAACTACAATGAGATACCACTCATACCTATTAGAGTGGACACTATAAAAAAAAAAAACCAAACAGAAAATAAGTGTGGGCAAGAATGTGGAGAAATTGGAACTCTTGTGCACTGTGGGCAGGAAGGTAAAACGGTGCAGCTGATATGGAAAACAGTATGGTGGTTGCTCAAAAATTAAAAATAGAAGTACCATGTGATCCAGCTATTTCACTTCTGGGTATATATACCCAAAAGAACTGAAGGCAGGGTCTCGAAGAGATATTTGTACACCCACGTTCATAGCAGCTTTATTCACAGTAGCTAAAATGTGGGTGCAACTCAAGTGTCCGTTGACTGATGAATGGATAAGCAAAATGTGGTATATACATACAATGGAATATTATTCAGCCTGAGAAAGGAAGGAAATTCTATATGCTACAACATGGATGAAACTTCAGGACATTTTGCTAAGTGATATAAGTCACAAAAAGACAAATATCGTATGATTCCATTTATATTAGGTACTTATAGTAGTCAAAATCACAGACATAGAAAGTAGAATGGTGGTTGTCAGGGGTTGTGGGGAGGGGGAATACAGGAGTTACTGTTTAATAGGTATAGAGGTTCAAGTTTTACAAAACCAGAAGAGTTAGGGAGATGGATGGTGGAGATGACTGTACATTATATATATTTAATAACAGTAAACTGTACACCTGAAAATGCTTAAAATGGTAAATTTTACGTGTATTTTACCACAATAAAAAAAATTGGGGAAAAAATTTTAACATAGTACCTAGTTTTTCTTTCTCTTCCTACAGCACGCTGGACATATCTCTAACATAGAGCCTATAATACTATTATGAAATTGCCTGTTTAAGTACTGTCTCCCTTAAAAGAGTACTATAAGCTTGTCAAAGCAAGTTTCTCCAGTGTCTAGTGGAGAAGCGCCTGTTCGAAGATAGGTAGGAGGCAGCAGAATGTGGTCGCTAAGGCATCAGGCTCTGAAGTTAGGTTGCTAGGGTTTGTATAGCAACTCCATCACTTACTACCTCTATGAACTTGAGCAAGTCACTAAATCTCTCTAAGACTGAGATTTCTCATGTGAGATAGAAACAAAAATACTATTATTTCATTGGGTTGTTATGAGGATTTAAAATAATACATCAAATTTATATTATTGTTAAATATATTGTTATTATTAAAATCACTCAACATATTTTGTGGAACTCAATTGAATAAACACTTTTAACTGTTTAACATTACCCCATCACAGTTAAATTTAATGAAGCTAATGAAAAAACACTCCTATCTGTTAATCAAAACAAAGGCTAGGATCTCTAATTAGATTAGTCTAACTCTAGAAAAACTATACATTCTAAAATTTGCACTTCCTTACTCTGGATTTCCTTGATATGGAAATAGTTACATTTGTTTCAGCCACAAACTAAAGATTTCACAAATGGCCTCCATTCTAGAGATATCGGTCAAATACATTCAACCTTCCACATTTTATAAATCTTAACAGAGTAACGACTTAAAACATAAAAACCACATTTTAATATAACGTATATAGTCTCAAGAAACCAACTCACCTAAGAACCTATTCCATACTTACTCCGGTGGTTGGTTTCAGTTATAGTATTTTTTTTAATAAGCCTTTGCTGAAAAGGTCATTTCCCACAATAATTATGATGGAAACACACTGCACGGCATTAAGAACAAGTTCATTAAAGGAATGAAACAAAAAAAAGTACATGATTATATGTAAAGTATTATTGTTTCATTTTATGTATGAGTAAACAAAAACTGCAACCATAAACAAATCAAAATTCTATCCTATGGCTAAGCAGAATAAAGCTGCCTATTTTGAGAGAGAATAAAAAGTAAGTTTCAATTGTCATTCATAGATTCCTTTTTCTCTCTTCTCCCAAATTATAGGTACAACGTAAGTCATTAAAGATTTAAAATATAAAAGTTAAAATACTACAAGACTTTTATAGACTCATTATTTTTTCTTTTTTTAAGATTTTATTTATTTATTTTCCCCCCAAAGCCCCAGTAGATAGTTGTATGTCGTAGTTGCACATCCTTCTAGTTACTGTATGTGGGACGCGGCCTCAGCATGGCCGGAGAAGCGGTGCGTCGGTGCGCGCCCGGGATGGAACCCAGGACGCCAGCAGCGGAGCGCACGCACTTAACCGCTAAGCCACGGGGCCGGCCCAATAGACTCATTATTTTACCAAGTTATTTCCAATCTTTATTTGGATAAAGACATCCTTCAATTTAAGTAAACTGATTCTTACCTCCTGATTAAACTTATGTGCCATCTCATTAAGAAGTGAAGAAAAGAAACTAGTGTTTTGTAGCAGGACTCGACCCATAACTCCGAGATATGTTGACATCACTACAGGATACCTCTGTACAATTAAAATACAGCATATGTAAAATTGTGTTAAGGTACAACTATAAACAATTATAAACAATCACTGACATAGTAACAATCAACAGGAATATGAAATAACAATATTCTCCTTCATATTACTTCTTTAGAACGAACTGCCAATATTGCCTGATTTCTAAGTAACTTACTAAATATATAGGTTATAAAATGTAATATATATGTATTACATATACATTTATATGGATTATATACATGTATATATAATAGAGAGAGGGGAACAGAGAAAGAACGATGGTATATTTACACATTTATATTACTTTAAATGCTCTTAATGTACATAGTTACATGGATCTAGTTAAAAGCTCAACTTAGAAAATAACTGGTGTTTTCGTATATTTAATATGTAACAAAACTAGCACTATTTTTTCCCATTCCTCTGCTTCAAATCTTTGTGTATGAATACACATGCAAATAAGTGAAAGCGATGAGACAGCAAAAGAAGTCTATATCTTCCTATGCGGAGAAAGAAAAACTGTATAACTACCCTGAATTTACTTCAAACTGATTCAATAATAAGAAAAGCTTTCCTTTCATATCTAACAATGAAGAAGAAATAATTTTCCAATGAAGAAGGAAAATAATAAAAACTAGAACCCTAGAGTCCAATACTATCCTTAGAAGCTTAAGAAAAATCTTACCTCCCCTTCTATAATACCTCTGAAAACACAGGGCAGAATTGGTTGAAACATTTGCGGGCCTAATACAGGGTTCACTTTAAGGGCGTTTTCCACAACCTAAAAACCAGAAAGACACGGTAATATTTAATAGTGCAAGTCATTGCTTCATGGGAAACACAGGGAAAGAAAGCAGCGTATTAAATATCACCTACCAAATTTGAGAATACATACAAGTACATGAGGTATTCAATATTCTGGCACTAGACACACCTTTACAAGATAATTCATTAAAAATTGCAATTTGATATAATATTTAGACACAGCTATACGTCTTGCATAGAATTTATCACATTCTGATAACATAGGCATCACGTTGTTAATGCAATTTTTATCTTTGCATTTTAAACAAATAATCCTTACAAAATGTTGCACTAATAGAGGCAGCAAAAGGCATTTCAAAGTATTGGCTTTTAATAGTGAAAAGGGAAGTTAGCAACAACTATACTCACTGTCCAAAAATAAATCTACACTTAAGTTTATCAATAAATTGGATGAAAAAGGGCATGTTGCATACACACTGCATATTTATTAAACGTGAAATGATCTTATTTCATTTATAATGTAATCATATAGATTACTAATAATGAGCATTGTGTTACAGGTGAAAATTTTGAAATATATATTATTTTATGAGTGAGATGGGTTCCCTCTATAACAAAGATAGGTAAGCATGAAATGAAAAGTGGGGTGGAATTTTTCTGTTTGCTTATTTTTGTTTTATTTTTTAGGGAGAGAGGAAGGCCGTGGTCAGGAAGCAGCAACAAGGACCAAGAAAGAATCTACCTTGCTTCCAGAGGTCCCACTGCTGGAGGGGTAGGAATGAAAACAGACACCATGTGAGAAGGCTGTGGGCAAGTACTAGCCTCGAGACAGAGCCAGGTTTCCCATAAACTTTCAACAATGTTTCTTAAGATTGACTACTGGGGGGCCAGCCGGGTGGCACAAGTGGTTAAGTGCGCACGCTCTGCTGTGGTGGCCTGGGGTTCGCCGGTTCGGATCCCGGGTGCCGCGCACCAATGCACCGCTTGGCAAGCCATGCTGTGGCGGCGTCCCATATAAAGTGGAGGAAGATAGGCACGGATGTTAGCCCAGGGCCAGTCTTCCTCAGCAAAAAAGAGGAGGATTGGCAGATGTTAGCTCAGGGCTGATCTTCCTTATCAAAAAAAAAAGATTGACTACTGGCATTCTGAGCAGGACAAATGTTTATGCTGCAGGACTATTTCATGCACGGGGTTGGAGGGGGGTGCATTTTAGCATCTCCCAACTCTGCTCATTCTGTGCTAAAAGCGTGCTCCAAACACTATGACAATCAAATATATCTCCATGCATTTCAAAACATTTCCAAGGTAAGCAAATAGTACACATGGATGACAACATTCTCTAATTTTGAGCAAGAAGTAAAAGGAATGTCCAAAGAAAAGTTTAAAAATACAAAAACTTTTACTGTGGATCAAGCACTATGCTATCTACTAAAAGATATAGGATAAAGAATCTCACAGTTCCTGATTAAAAGCAACAGGAGACGAGATTCAGAATATAATTATAATTAAATATGATCTCAATAAAGCTTATTCTTTTAAAAAATTAGATTTGGAATAAAGATGGGGAATATATAGATAAGCTAGTAGACTGACAGACACATATTTAGCTTCATTCCCTCCTGAAACCCCACTAAAATTACAGTAAAGTATTTTAAAAGGGGGGGGTAAAATTTTAAAAGGACAAAGGGAATGAGAGATGAATATTGGAAGCTACAAAGAATAAATTCAAGAGGTAAGTGACTTATCAGAACAGAGAAAGATGAACCTAAGGTTGCAATGGAGAAAGCTGAAAAGCAACTTCATTTACATCCTATATCTTCTCTGTACCTTTCCTCACCAAAAAACACAAGAATTAGCAGAACCATATACCTTTGGAAAGGAGGGTAAAGGAAAAGCTAAAAATGAGACTGGTTGAAAGTCTATTTACGAAACAGATTGCCAGACAGTCCCAAATCTGCATATCTGGGCAACTGACCTTCCTCCACCCCAGGAGAAGAGAGATAGTATACCTTCTTTAAGAGTCTAAAAGAGAGAGTTTCCAGACTAAAAGGACACGGCAGTGCCCAGTACAATGAATTAAAATAAACCTTCATCAAGGCACATCATTGTAAAATTTCAGGACACTGGGAACAAGAAAAAGAAGCTACAAGCTCGGGGAGAAGGTGCAAGCAGAAGGAGTCAGCATGGCTCTGGAAGAGACTTCTTCAAGAAAATTAAAGTAATAAAATACCTGATGGGTCCATGTGCCTGAACATATTGAGCAGAGACCACTGGCAGAGAATTCAGTGCATATAAAAAATTACACCAAAAATTATTATTAACACCAAAGATTACAAAAGTTTGTACAGAAAAGAAGTAATCACATATTTAGATCATTATGACTTTTAAAATATTCATTAAATGTATCATTCAATACAAACCAGTTCTCATCATTATGCATTTTCTTTATATATAAAGGTATAGTTACTATTGTGTAGAAGATCCACCAATATTTCATGGCTAAAAGTCGAGTCTTTGTATTGAAAAGATTAGGAACCATACCTAGGGAGATGAGATTATTTTTGAAAAATTATACAAGAAAATGCCATTAACAGATTTAGAAGCAAGGGTTGTAGAAAAGAATCAAGAGAAAATTCAGAAAGTAGAACTGATAAGATATAGAAAACCAATTGAACAGTAGACCAAAGGTGAAGAAACCTTGGATTATTACTAATTTTCATGCTTCGTCAAAGAGTACAATTGCAGTACTGCTAATAATAATAAGGTTTCATTTTGGCACCTCAAACTTAAGTTGCCTGTGGGAAATCCATATGGAATGGTCCTATATTATTTCCACACATAACACTCTACAGTCCACTTCCCAAAGAAGATATTGCAGTTGCAACTTAAAAGCCACAGAGTTCAAATTATGACTATTTCCATAGCGAAGAAGGTTCTTCCATAATGATCGAAATCCTACTGAACGTTTTGATCAGCAGTATTGTTTTCACTTCTAAATAAATTTTGAAAAATGCATCTAATGATTTCAGTGGTAATAAACAATTCTGTATATTTCAAGTGAAATCCGTGTACACTCAGATTGCCAAACAGCTCCAAGAAGGAAATAACAGTAAAGACAACTAAAGTATTCACAGGTAGTTAAAAACAAGGTAATTTACTGATATTAAAAGAATTTAAATCATAACTTAATCTTCTTGGGGGAAATCATTATGTTCTCAGGAGTTTTAGCATGCTTTGCTGTGTTTCAAACCATTTAGTTTAGTTTTGTTTTGATGCTCAAACTATCCCATCATCAGCCAGTGGGAGCTCCTTCAAGTTGATTCCTATACCCTTTTGACGGAACCCCACTTTCTCTTCCTGCTGGCACAAAGAGACGGCCCCAGTGTATCTTGTGTATCTCTTGCCTGGGCTCTGGAGTCAACCAGCAAGAACAACATGTACAGACCACAATCTAGGCTCTGCGCTGCTTATTACCACTGGACTGACACTACTTCTATGTCTTTGATTAGACAGCTTTAGGAAATCTATTTTTCTCTTCCTGAAAAGTATATACCATAAATTCACCAAACCCAACTTAAGATTACAGCACTTTACATAACTTCTTTGATTTTATATTTCCACCTTTCTTCGCTTATATTGAAAAATCCCAGATTCTAATTACTTCCTTTGCTTCTAACTACTATATATATAAATATCCACATATATACATATGGGTTTCAAAATAACAATACCAATATTACTAATAACACTACTGAATACAATTTATAATTTCCTTGTGTTTCTTTTTGTTCTGTTATATCCCACTAGGGATGCACATGTAAGATACTATGTATTAAAGTTATTTGAACTATTCTTCTCAAATGGCTATGCCACCAACATAGTAATAGTTAGATTCAAATGTTTCAGCTTGTTTTTATCTTTAGGAACTGCTTTTACTTTATTATTTTAAATCATATAAAACATCTATATGGCTCCAAAGCCAAAAGTACAAAACAGACATACACCCTGAAAGATCTAGCTTCTATCTTCTCTTCCTCTTCCACAACCACTTCTATTAATTTGGTTTATTTTTTCATTGCTATCTATGTTGCACTCTTTAAACACAAGAACACTCTAGACACTGTTTTTGCTTATAGTCTCAAAACAGCTCTAACACTGTATATAGGAGGTCATCTTCACTCCTTTTTAAAGCTGCACAGGACTCCTCCGTGTGGTTGAATAAGCTGTAGTACCTCCAATCATCCAATCACCTGTTACTAATTATTTTTTATCAGCATTTTGCTATTATAAATTGAACTTCTGCACTTTAGTTTTAATCCATCCCTTTTCTGAATATACCTGGAACACACTCTGTTTTTAAAATCCCTGTCACAAATGCAGGCTTTTAGTTTGTGCCTGGCACTCAAACAATTTTCTTGATTTAAGCTTATACTGCATACAAAGTGGTTAAGAGCATGGATCCTGAAGTTAGAATGCCTACGTTTATGTCACAGTTCTAACACTTACTAGCTGTGTGACCTTGGACAAGGTATTACCTCTTTGTGATTTAACTTCTCATCTGTAAAAATGGGGAAAAGAACAGTACTATCATCATAAGTTTATGTGAGGATTAAATGAACTCTATGTTATGTGTTTAGAAATGTGTAGCATATAGTAAATGCCAGTATTAGCTATTATTATTATTATAGAATTATACCTTAAAAATATTTGTGCAGGGCTGGCCTGGTGGCTTAGCGGTTAAGTACATGCACTCCGCTGCTGGCGGCCCCGGTTTGGATCCCGGGGGAGCACCGACGCACTGCATCTCCGGCCATGCTGAGGCTGCATCCCACATACAGCAACTAGAAGGATGTGCAGCTATGACATACAACTATCTACTGGGGCTTTGGGGGGAAAAAAATAAATAAATAAAATCTTAAAAAA